ATATTCAGCGGTTTTAACCACTTGGTCACTAGTGGGGTACAACGATTCAAAATAGTTATATCGTCTTAACAGTGAAAAGGAACTCCTGGTTAAGAGGCAAGTAAATTTTGCGGTGCTACAAGTGTTCAGATATCCCGAAAAATGGTAGCCAGCCGTTTGCAGCAAGAAGTTTGGTACGTCCGAAGATCTTCTGTGGGTGTGCCCCACTGTTGACAGTTTACCGTAGCACCCATTGGCAATGTGTCATCAGCATCGAAGAACTGGGAATGTTTACTCTTCTCAGATGACAGCAAACTCAGTCTTTCATATAACTGTAGACAGTAGTATATCTCGCTCAGAAAGGTTATCCGCATCATTCAGAAAATATCCACGAAAGAAGCCGATATGATTCATGTCATGATATAGCCCAGCATAATGGTCAATGGCTGCGTTCCGCTACATGTGCTTACATCTGGCATTATGACCAATGCTCGAAATTTTAATGAAGTTCTGCTGTTTCACGCTCGTCTTTTCTGTGGCGCTCTCAGGTACACGTTTGTTTTCATGGATGATAAAGCCTGATATCGTGGCTCAGCTGCTGTTCAGGATTGCTTTGACAGTCTGAGGAGTGTGAAGGTCTGAAACAGTGGTTGCAGAAGACACAAAAGAAATGGGTTAATAGGGGGTATGGTCCCCTCTTACAGACGTACAGGCCTCGCAGCGTGATGTTATACTGGAAATAAGGCAGTTGATCAGTGCCTGTGGCAATTGGTCCCACTCATTAAGCAACGCTGTTTTCAGTTCTTGGATGGTTCTCGGACGAGGGTTGCGAGTTAAATTGCCCTCCCCAGAGCGTCCCAGACATGCTCTATACGGTTGAGGTCTGGAGACCTGGCTAACCAATCTATCCGGCGAATATCCTCACGCTCGAGCAATTCGTCGACCAGAAGAGCTCTATGTGGCCTCGCGTTATCGTCCTGTAAGATGAACTCGGAGCCTACTGCACCCTGGAAAAGGCGAACATAGGGCTCCAAGACCTCATCCCTATTCCTCACACCTCATCCCTATTCTTCACAGAGCTTCTGTCAAAGACGTGGAGAGGTGAGTGGCCATCCAATCATCCATGATGTCTGCCCAGACCATTACACCGCCACCCCCATAATTGTTGATTTCGCGGACATTGGAGGGTAGGCAGCGTGTCCCTGGCTCTCTCCATAAGTACGGTGAGAATTGGTGTTTAGGCTAAAACGGGACTCGTCGGTGAACAGAACGGTCGCCCATTGCTCCGTATTCCAATCACTATGCTGCCTGCACCATGTTAATCGGACTTTCCTGGCCGTAGATGTGAGCGGGACGCAAACAGCCGGTCTTCTGACAAACAACCCTCTCTCATTTAGTCTTTTGGAAACAGTCACCCTTGTTACACGGGTTCCTGTGGCTGCATACAGGTATCGAGAGAGCTGAGAAACTGTAGCCCCTCTGTTACACCTCGCTAAAATAGACAAATAGTGATCTTCTCTGGCCGTCGTGGCTCTTGGACGACCTCGCCCAGGTTTTCTCTCGATGGAACTGCGTTAAATTAAACTCTCTGCATATCTGGACTTGCAACTTACCTGCCTCTAGCCTCCCCACAATTTGCCACCTCATTCCATCATCTAAACGTTGGTGATTACTCATTTTTACTGTTCCGATGTGATTTAACCTATTGCTGCAAGATAACAACAAGAAATTCGCCAAGGTGTGCTAGCGAACGCAATTCGTCTTACTCTTCACGCGCTTATAAAGCCTGTTTATCTGCTGGCTCCGCATACACACACGTGCAGGCTTACGTATTTGCCGTACAAGATTTGCATTTTTATCTAGAAGCAGTGGTTTTTCCTTCAGTTCAGTTCTTTTCCTGCAATTCGATAAAATATGCAAATTCTCTTAATTTATTTCACCAGCGCATTTCTCCCGCCTTCTTAGCAAGTCTTCGTGGTGTAATGGTCAGCACACTGCACGCGTATTCGAGAGGTCCGTCGTTCAAGCCCCAGCGAAGGCACTGCTCATTTTTCATCTTTCCTGCTTCGAAATAACCTAATGTCTCTACAGTGGCGCCCCGAACTAAAAGAAAAGGTGGTGGATGACGATTCTCCACCACTAGGATTTAGCGATTGGGTCCCCTAATCCGCATTTCCCCTTTAAAAGGGGGAGTATATAAGGTATTTCTCCCGCCTTCTTAGCATGACTTCACGGTGTAGTGGTCAGGACATTCTGCGCGTATTCGAGAGGCCCGTGGTTCCAGTCCCGGCGAGGGTATTGCTCATTTTTCATCTTTCTTGCTTCAAAATAACTTAATGTCTCTAAAAACTTTTTTTCTCCTACAACCAATCAACAAAAGAATGCTTTCGGACTAAATGATTTTGAATGCCCTATTCTTAAAAAATACTACGTATCAGCAGGTTATTGTTCCTTCGTGTTTTATTTTGACATAAACACGTTACTATATATATTCCAAGTTATATAGCTTCCGCAGAGCACAGCATCTAATTCGAAACTAATACTATTATTTAAACGGCTCAGTCGGTCGTAACCATGATTAATAACGACAGCTCTCACGAATCCTCAGCTATAAGGCATATGCCGCATAACATGCAACCTGGATTCTGATGCTACAATACCCGTAGGTCTAATTTAATATATGAAACGAGAAAAAAAATGGTTTTGGAGAATGCATCTTAAATCTCGCAATAATATGCAAAGTAATAAGTGATCTGAGTTGGTCTCAGCTGCAATCCTTCATCCAGAAGTCTATGAAAAACGTTCTTTGTCAGTATCAGAGCAAAATTCTCGGACAGAAACTGTTGATAAGCGTAGCTTGTCTCAAAATAATTCTCTTAGTATAAATTTAACAACCGCAATTTATTTTTGTAAACGATGGTTAAATTATTCGAAATATTCAAGTAGTAGCCTCAAGAATAGCAGGAGAAACTTTCGGGTCAGTTTTGTATGAAATGGCAGAAGCTATCTTAACATGATAATTTTTTTCATACATAACAAACGCTGATTCGGCGCAGCTTATTTTCGCGTGGCAAGAACATCATTTCTATGATATGTCTGAACACTCTTTATTACTACCTCTCCAAAGAATAGCCTCTCGAGGGACAAAGATAGGGTTATATTTCCGAAGGGTATTCTTATCAACATTTTGTTGACATAATCGATTAAATCCCTTCTCAAAAGTTCACATTTTTCCTCGGCAGTTGCTATGGTTACCATCTTAGGAAAAACATTCACAGTAAGCCAAATACGAAAGCATATATACATAGACTGAATTACTTAGGTTCAAAGAGGAAATCAAACCCAGAATTCTCAGAATCGAATGATGAAAAGAATCTGAGAGCAAGGATTGAGAGTGAAATTCTTAATGCGAATAGATAGGAAATCAAGAAAGCGCGGCGGGGTGCTATTCAAGCGAGCAGAGATACTCTTTTGTATGGACAATATACAGAAGAAAACGTCCAAAAACCAATAAACTGAGAATCTGCTATAATGTGAGTGCGCAGATCACAAGAACACAACATAAACGAAGCTAATAAATATGCACATGCAATGCTTCTTGTAATCAATTCAATCACGAGCAAATTTTCAAGTGGAGACAAAATTTTAAAACAATTTGTTTTATATATTCCTTTTATGCACAGCATACGATTATGCTCTTTGAAGACAGTATTTTCTGTCGAGCAGATTAAAGCCTGTTAATGATATATGAAAGTTTTAGCGCTTAAAATTTATTTCGCGCAGGGAAAAAAACACCTCAATATTAAGAAACGTCAGAAATTGTATACCCTTTTTCAAAATGTTTATACTGAAGTTAAAATCTCTATACCCAGTTTATAACTTCCGTAACCTAATAATTTGGATGTACTATTTTCCGTTGTTTCTGTTTATCACGGGGAAAATACTCTTAAAAAAATCACCGAGAGTAATGACATTTATAATAATAATCTTAAAATAAAGTAAAAATATGACGTAAACATGTATTTGAATACCAACAATATATGTTTCTTGTATCCTGAGGCGTTTCTGCTTCCCTCTTTCTCCCCTTCTCCAAATAAACAAAATTTGTTTAAATTCTAAACGATAATTCTTAGATTAACCTTAAACTATCACACCAATAAAAACCTAGAATATTAGTATCATGTTCAGTCTTCATAAACAGACTTCACAGAGTACTAATAAACCATTAAACCAATTCCTTAGTCCATAATCTCCTGATATAATTTCTTTTTTAATGCAGAATCTTTTTCAAAATATTCGAAAAACTACTTGTGAATGAAATTTTATATTTTTACAACTGATATGAGTTTACGGAAGAAACTAATACACGAGATTTATCAAGTTTATGTTAAAATAAGGAAATACGAGATGATATGATTTCTTAGAAGAGTGCGACTTAAGAGACTTAAACAATTATAAATAAATGGACAGGAAATGAATTATAATTTCAATGTAAAACACATTTGTCATCTAACAAAGTTTCGTATTACAAGTTACCCGTATAGAACATACATACGATCTTATCTTACGACTGGATTTGCTGGAATTCATTCACAAAGTGAGTAACTTAAGCCAATTCAGAGTAACAGTTCCGAAATAGCAAATCTGCTTCCAATTGCCCTGAAATAACACAAACAGAAAATTTCTCCCAAAAAATTGTAGCTAAAATAATCTCAAAATTAAACAGACAACCATAGTTAGACCACCGACAATCGGATAAAGCGCAAAATTCAATCATTACTTACACCATTGTTCTTCGGAACACTTCAAAAAATACTAATCCAAACAACAATTCGTTTATTGTGTTGACGGAAGACCGACTTTGAAAAACACCCAGAGAGGACAATTCGGAGGCAGATAGAAGGAACAATGTAGCCAAAAAAAAAAAAAAAAAGTAAGCGTCTGGAAATGAATGAAAAACGCAAAGGCGCGGCAATTCAAGGTAAACAAAAGTAGGGGGAAAAAAGTATTATTTAACTTACCGTTTAGTTCCTTCGCAGAATGAGCCCTAGTTGGAACCTGTAAAAACAAAAAATAATTATAAAACAAAAATTAAAACCACCAAAAGTATTTAGATGAAGATAACCTAACATGATGATATAAAATAGTTTTTCCCATACGAATAATTTTTTAAACTATTTTTCTTCCAAAAGCGGTAACTGAATTATGATAAACAAAGTATAGAAACATAAAATAATGAAAAAAAAATTATTGCACGAAAGATTGTTACTTAAATTTGAATAGAAATTATAGATTAGGAAACAAGAGACGAAGAGAAATGAAAAAAACGACTTAGCACACCTTTGCTCCAATCGATGCTCTTTAAGTGCGAAACGTCCATTTTCATTGAATTGCATTTCGAAAAATAGTGTATGGCAATGCTTGCAGTTCGGAGCAGTCTTTCGACCAAATTCCTAATGACGTGGAAGTTCCACTGCGTAACGCGATTACGGCAGCGGCAGCGAGGAATTTTTTGAAGCTCATTACAAAGATAAAGTAATCCAAAATGCACTACCTTCTAATGGAATTATGCGGGGACCTTATATTAATAACGCGTCAGTCATAATTGGAGGAAAGGCACTTTCAGCAACATATTTTTAAGGCAGACGCTTGTTACTAAGCGTTCGAATTTATGCAATGTGCGTAGAACTTTTAAGAGCACATGTTTATTTTTGGTACAACAGCAAAGACTTGAGTTAATACTTACCTAAAGCCCTGCTGAAGCATTTTGACCCTAGTGGCAAATCTTTTCACATTCCCGTTTAATTTATTACATTTTTATTTTGAAAACCTTTTTTTTTTTTTTTTTTTTTTTTTTTTTTCCTCCATTTTTTACCTGAGCCAAGCGGCTCGCTCGCCCAGTCCTTAGCAAAACTCTCCACACGTGTGTGCATGTGCATTTTTTACAATCCAAAGAACCACCGGATAAACAGGTTTAATGACTGCGTGTAAAGAAATGCTATGCGCAAGATTATATAAACGACATGTTGCAGGCGGATGTGGTAATGTAAATCAAACATTTTTTTTCTTTAATTATTTCAAAGACATTCAAACAGTTGTTCAACAAGAAAGCATTCTTGAACAAATAAACTACTATTTTGGGGAGGCGAAAGGGTGCTTGGTATCATTTTTATATAAATATAAGCATAATCTCAGAAACATATCAATGCATCAAATGTTGTAGAATCAATTAACTACATCTTAAATTGCTTTTCATTTACCATCTGCCATGAAACATACATAGAGCATCACTCTATGATATGTAAATTCCATTTCATTTTCAAATATTGAGCTTTATTGGCATTGATCGTGGAATCCTTAACAGCCAATTATGACACCTTTTAAGGAATATCAGCACTGATCGCGACAGGATGACATACGCGACACATGCACGAAGAAATAACAAAGATACCCGAAGACATACACGAAGCAATAACAAAATAATTGCATCGTTAAACTACCTTCCAGATTCATGCGTGAATTCCGATTGATTTAATTTTAAATAACAGACTTGATTTCGCTTGCTCCCTAATTCTTCAAGTGTGAAACATTTAGGCAACACCGGCATTTACCCTGAAACATACTTATTAAGAAACATTCACACATGGGGAATACGTTACTTTAGTGCATTCATATAAACAAATGCGTTAAGCATTTAGACTTTTCAGAATTCTATTTCTTAATTCAAGTAAGGAACATAGTGATTATGCGTTTCTATCTGTTCTACGAACGTTAATATAAAATCTAACAAAAATATGCAGAATATACTTGTAATGCCTTATACGGATGATATTCACCACGGAAGCCTACCTGAATATTTTCGTTAACTTAACCCACAGACATAAGTTACAGATATCAGCAGAAAAACTAGTTTAGTGCCCACCAGCAGCCAAGAGTTTAGTGCCCATCAGCGGCCGAGCGGTAAAGACGCTGAACACTGGTAGTTCGGTACGAGGTTCGAATCCCGCGAATGGCTGCATGGGCGTTTTCGTGGTTTCCTCATGTGTAACGTGTATACAAGCCAGTTTCCCTTAGAAAGTCCTCCACGAAGGCATCCCTCCCTTTAGGCAGATAGCCCTTGTGTGCTTTGCCATAATTACATAATCCAATCCAAGAGTTTAGTAAGGAACATCGCCAAGAACATTTTAATACTTGGATCGTACAGAAATGATTGACGCGTGGCTCTCACAACGAAAATATTGCACGATGCGACACGGAAAACAAATGAAATAGACACAAGGGGGCGTGAGTTACTCAATTCATAGATGGCACTGGCCGCAGACGAATAGTCAGCGCCCGTCTCTTTTACCGTCTTCATTGAAAGCGTAGACAGCAACGATTGAAGGTGACTATCACGGTCAGCGTTGGACAGCGTGGTTCTTATGGAAGGAAGGGATATAGGGTAGTGAGATCTATCCTTGTATGGTGCCAGTGTGGAGGAACAAAGCACCCTCAAGGCGTACCGTATACCGTGGTTGCCCCAAGTTCAGCAGTGGAGTGGAGACCGCAGCGGAGTGTCAGCGCGATGCGCTTCATCGCGTACAGCAGTAAATGTGGCAACCGTGTCGGATTTGATCATGGCGAACAGGCGCATAATGTTTAACGAGATGGAGAAAGAGACAGGGCTTGCGCGAGGAAAAATTGCAGGCGATTGTGCATGATGATTTGTGTATGGTGATTGTGCATGGTGAGATGACAAAGGTGCGTGCAAAGTGGGTGCTCATATGCACTCACACCACAACAAAAGGTGAAGCGCGTCGACATCTGAAAAGAACTTCTTGGACTACATGATATCGATCCGGATGACGTTTTCGTCCACCTGGTGACGGGGAACAAGTCGTGGTTTTCGCACAACACTCCCGAAAAAAAAAACGCAGCTCCAAGGAGTGGAAGCATGCATCAAGCCCACGTACCAAGAAGGCTAGGCTCACGCGGAAGCAAATGGCAACAGTCTTCTGGGATATCCAAGGCATTCTCCCCGTAGACTGGCTGAAACCTGGGTGCACCATCAACAGTGACGGATACTATGAGGTTCCGAGAACGCTGCGAATGTGCATTTAACAGCGCCGTCCGGACAAATGGGCACGACACATGTTGTTGCAACACGACAACGTACGTCCCCACACCAGCCTGAACACATACGACACTCTCGAGGCACTGGGCTTTACTGTGTTGCCACACCCTCCGTACTTGCCCTATCTTCCCCCCTCGCATTGTTTGACAAGATGAAGGACGCAGTCTGGGGCCAACATATTGAATCCTCTTCCGAACTGCATGCAATGGTCCGTAGATGGTGCATCAACACTCCCACAGACTGGTTTACCAAAGCCCTTAGAAGTGTATTGACTTGGGAGGGGATTATTTCTAACTGATGTATTATACGCTTTTTGTTTGTAAGCTTTATCCTTATGTTTTTAACAGCTATCTTTAGTTAAAGCTACTTTTTTGTCCATCCTGATTTCAGTTTACAATTTCCTACCAGAATGTGTTTTTAGAATCGCGTTTAATGCAAAAGAGTAAAAGTAGTCTTTAATTCGAAGTTCCACTGACTTCGAGAGAGAGAGCCTCAGAGTTTCTAACTAGCGCGCGTTCACATTTTGCTACGAATCTCTAATCTGTTATTACGCTCGGCCGTATTACAGGCCCTTGATAGCTTCGCTAGCTTATTCGATATTTAGGGGTCAACTACTTAGAATTTTGATAGCTTCGGCTATATCTCTTTAGTTAAGCATTAGTTAAGTCTTATTTCTTAATATTTTGAGTTCAAGTCCAAGTGGAGGCTTTGCTGTACGCCCTGAGAAGGGGTCATCTGTTAACTCTTATGTTGAGCAATAAAGGGTAATTAAAACCTTCTCGATTTTATGTATCTGTTCCTGGACTAAAGCGATTATTCTCTTAGCTGTTCATTAGATTCCTCCCCATTTAGCTGTTAGACAAAAGGGTGGAACTCCACATGTTAATAAATCGTATTCCGCTCCGTGGCAGCATTTGTGTCATTCATCTCTGTACGACCTAAATATCATCGGAATTCTATTAAGAACGATACCATGATTCTACTATTTAGGTAAAATCACCGATGCTAGCTACTAGTAGCTTCCAAATTAAAGTCACTTTGAGATGGCTACTCTTTTAAAATTTAGCTCTGAAGACAACATCCTTTTCTTAAGAAGCATTTCTTAAGTCAAGACACTCTACGAACAAATTATTACGTCATAGTAGCAAGCGCAGAAGACCATATCTCATTGGTTATGAGAAGCGCAGTTAAATGCTGACAAGACTTTTAGCCTTCTGGTTATGTAGACACAATGTACCTTTCTTCCACGAATCTGCCAAGCCTACACATCCTCACCACAATCTTCACGACTAATTTAAATTACAATCTTGTAGACCAGTACATAATATATGCATTCACATAGATTACAGGCAAAAATTACTTTACCATGTCACCCAGTCTTCTTTGACCACAACAGTATATCAACACATCTCCAACAACGCCAACGTTAGGTGGTATTTATACAGACGGATTAAAAGTCGAAATAAATATAGGATGTATTTACTGCCATGTTATGAATGACACGAATATGTAAAGCTAGACAGAGAAATTTAAAGCAATTCTATCATCTTGGTGGAGATCACAGCACCATAGATTCCATATCAAGACTCGCACTAACTAAAAGCACCAGGCATCATATAAAAGGAGTGCCACAGAATAAAGAAACTATTGCTAATGCTACTTTCTTTTGCAGCACGAAATCCTGCTTTACACCGAGTGATACCTATACTGCTCTAATTAGAAAAACCGAAAATGAGTTGAAAGTTTAAGTCACGAAATAAGTTACAAACATCGCATAAGCAACTGGCAGTATCAGCACGACTGCAGCGCTACTTTCCTACTTAAAAACGCATTACCCTGCAAGGACTATTACTCCGATGCTAAACTCACTGGAACAGTGCAAAGAATACCATTATAACAGCCATTGCCAAAAGTGAACAAGAAAGTCTTCACCAAAAATTCTCAT